GTCGTTCAAAAATTGCGCGCCGCACGAAAGTAAATCGGTGTCATGAAAGTAATGCACGCATTGTGAAACTTAACGTTTACACGTGAAACTATTGATGAAACTACTGTCATGACACTAGTTTCATACCACTAGTTTCGTAATGTAATTCCCGCTTTAATGTTTTTATTGAAAATTGCCGATTTTTAGGCTACTAAATGTATTTATTTTTATTTTGTGTGTGTTATTATTACTATTATTGCATTTTAACATGTGTAATAAGATGCTTTAGGACGTCAATCATTAAAATAGTCCATAAGTTAATTGAATAGGCTGTAGTAGATAAGTGAATGTTAAGAAATTGAAAAAAATATCAGAAAGTTTATTTTTCTCTAAGGGATATCTAAAAAAAATATTATGGCAATTGTTCGGCAGATGTGTTTTAAAATATCTATGTTTTATCAGCTATCTAACGAGGTATAACAATCTAGGATTTTATTTAAATGCATTGAAAAAACTTAGTTTCATAGGATACAGTGGAGAAGAAAATTGATACTTAGCCCTAAAAAGTAAAATAAAACAATAGGTAAGCATGAAATATCATTTATTAAATCAGGTTTTCACACAACTTTTTCTTACTCTACAGTTCATGTTCAACATGGCTGCCTCTGTTTCTAATACATTGTCGCATCCTTCTACGGAGACCAGTCTTTACAACTGCAGTGGTCAACGTTGTCCTTAGTTGATTTGCTGCATCGACAATCCTTTCTCTTAATTCTTCCACAGACGAAACTGGATTTGGCTCGCTGTAGACAAGACCTTTCATGCACCCCCACACATGAAAATCCATGGGGGTTAGGTCCGGACTTCTTGCTGGCCATGGCAACGGCCCACCTCGTCCTATCCATTTGTTTGGATAATTTGTGTCCAGCCAGTCTCTGACACTTCTCCTGAAATGGGCAGGGCAGCCATCATGTTGGAACCACATGTCCCTTCTCAAGTTGAGTGGCAGATCATCCAGCAAATCTCTGAAGTCTCCTCTCAAGAAGTTTTCGTAATTTTCCCCATTTAGATTGTCCGGGAGAAAGTAAGGTCCAATCAAATGGTTGGAGATAATGCCCATCCACACATTCACGCTGAATCTTCGTTGGGACCTCGCCACTCTTTTCTTATTGGGATTCCTTAGTACTTTTGGGGCCCAGTAATGGGCGTTGTGATAGTTAGTTATGCCATCGTTATCAAATTTGGATTCATCTGTCCATAAGATATTTCTTAGAAAATCTGGGTCTTCTACGTCAGCATTTAGCATAAATCTGCTGAAGTCCAACCTTCTCGCGGGGTCTCCTTCTTCAATAGTGTGTACCGGCGTGTAATGGTACGGGTATAGGCCAGCAGTATGCACTGTAAACCACACTCTCCATTGCGAAAGTCCCAGATCACGGGCAACACGATTAGTGGAAATGGTCGAATCCGCTCGAAAGCGTTGCACTATCTCATTGTCCTGCAGTTCTTCGTTGTCATAAATTCGTGGTCTTCCCAGGTCTGTATTTCGTCTCAAAACAGAGCCAGTTTCTCGAAGTCTTAGATAAACTCTGTTAAAAACGGCCACATCCGGCACTCGACGACCGGGGAAGCGAGTTCTGTATTCGTTGCGAGCTTGCGCAGATACACAATCGCAGTATCCGTAACAAATAAGCATATCAGCATATTCCTCAGGTGTGTAGGACGTCATCTTCAACACTTCCGTATCACAAGTACAAATCAGAGTCCAGTGAACAAGCACAGTATTCACAAATCAGAAGAAATAGTCCAGAATCGTAGCCAAGTCGAGGAAAAGAGCAAAACGATATCACATCTACTATGTACGAAGCACAAAAGCAGACTGACAACCAAAACAACATCCCGTGTTGGATTTCCAGCCCTAACCGGTTATTATAATATGTTTTCTTTCATTCGCACCCACATTAAATCGTCATGTCTCGCTCGCACGGTGCGTCTAAACTTTAAGGAGAATAGGCGTGGGAACTGCTACTGGAGCGTCCCAACTACTTTTTTTCTAGGAAATGTAATACAAATCCTAGATTGTTATACCTCGTTAGATAGCTGATAAAACATAGATATTTTAAAACACATCTGCCGAACAATTGCCATAATATTTTTTTTAGATATCCCTTCGAGAAAAATAAACTTTCTGATATTTTTTTCAATTTCTTAACATTCACTTATCTACTACGGCCTATTCAATTAACTTATGGACTATTTTAATGATTGACGTCCTAAAGCATCTTATTACACATGTTAAAATGCAATAATAGTAATAATAACACACACAAAATAAAAATAAATACATTTAGTAGCCTAAAAATCGGCAATTTTCAATAAAAACATTAAAAGTTGAATATCTCGAAAAGGGTTAAGTTTAGGGTAGGGTGTTTCATAATGAAATAAGTCAGAAATGATGGGTACTACACGCCCTTAACGGATCTAGCACGACTTTTCCTGTAACCCTGTATATATGCCAAATTTCATTAAGTGGTAATCCGAATATTCTTAATCAAGGATTATTTTTTGACCTTTTTTACCACCCTGTGTTTCAAAAGTTAAAACATTTAGGATATATGATCATTTGAAGTTTTCATCTTAAAATGGACCTGAAACCACCCCCTAGGACATTCAATTAAGAAACAATTGCAGTTACCAATACTTCAAGAGATAAATGCAGACTTTCGAGCCAAAGATTTCATATTTTTTTACTGCGACAATCATAACTAGCAAAATCTGCTCTTCATATGAGTGTTTCAAATATGAAACCTTTTCAGTTTTCGATATTTCTTTCTCAAACAGTAAATTTTTTTCATTCCTATGCCTCAGTTTTAATAAATTTTCCCTTTTATGTTAAGATTACAGATCAATGAACAAATTGGAAAAGAAACTGTATTTAGCTGTCCTCACTTTTTCTTCATATACGACATTCTACAACATTAATATATGGTGCAACACATTTGATAAATACAATATATTGTTCTTTGAGGCTTAGTGCATTGATCTCCTTGTTCTTGACGATAGCACTGAAGTATGCTCAGTAGCTGAAGGCTCCATTATTGATAGTGATTTAAATCTAAAATTTATACCCAGCAGGTACTCTTCTATTTCCATTTCCACATGTTTATTTAACTTTTGTCTGATACGCGCCGTTAGGAGTTTATATGATACGCTTAATAAGGTTTATACCCCTGTAGCTACTGCTACGTGCAGGGTCTCATTTCTTGAACAAACTCCATTCTTAGGGTATTTGCTCCTCTGTCCATATTGTTCCTATTAGTGCATATACAGGGTGGGGCAAAAGTCGCGAAGGGATTTGAAAAATTAATAACTTTTTTAAATTTTAATTTTAATTTTTTTCCCTAACACAAAACTAAAATGCAATGTTTGGAGTTTGTTTACAATTTAAGTGTGAAAGATTACATCACGCAAATGACCGCCATTTTCAGCCTCGCAAAGTGCAGATGTTGCAAGAGCATTTTCCATTACCCGAGTCAGAATATCTGGCCCCAAAGCACTTACTTCTGCTCGAATATTATCTTTTAGTTGCTGCAGGGTTGTGGGTTTATTAATATACACTTTTCCTTTCAGATATCCCCAAAGGAAATAATCAGGGGCTGTTAAGTCCGGCGAGCGGGCGGGCCAATTGAATCCTGAATTTCTCGAAATTAAACGTTCGCCAAAAATCTGCCTTAGAAGGTGCATAGTGGCTCGAGCAGTATGCGCAGTGGCTCCATCTTGTTGGAAAGTCATCGTTTGATTGTCAGCAAGAGCTGGTCTTAAGAAATTTTGAATCATATCACGATATCGGTCGCCATCTACAGATACAGCATTCCCATCGTGGTCTTCGAAGAAGAATGGTCCAATAATTCGTTGAGACGTAACTGCGCACCATACTGTACATTTAAGCGGATGTAATTGCCTTTGATGAACCACCCTTGGGTTCTCGGTACCCCATATTCTGCAGTTCTGCTTATTTACGAAGCCATTCAAATGAAAATGGGCTTCATCGCTCATGATCAGAGAATGAATAAATTCATTATCTTCTCGAGCCATTCTTTGCAAGCGAACTGCATAAGTTAGTCGTTCTTGAAAATAGCTGCACTTTATATGGAAACAGATGTAAATTTCCTCTTAATATTCTGCGTAAAGACCTTTGAGACATCTGCAGCTCAGCAGAACGTCTTCGGGTTGAGGTTTCCGGATTCTCCTGAACACTCTCCTGAACGCGTTGAATGTTCCCTTCATTTCTTGCGGAACGTGGCCTTCCGCTTCGTGGGAGATCCATAACTGTGCCTTGTTGCTGAAATCGTGCCACTAAGCGTCGAATCATTGATTCAGAGGGCGAATTCCGCAAATTGAAATGACGACGATATGCTCGTTGAGTTTGAATTATTGAATGGTGATATTCAAAATAAAATTCTATAAGTTTGGTTCGTTGATTGAGGTTGTAACGCTCCATAATTAATCTCCAGGATTTATTTTACACGGTCCTGAAAAAAAAAATGAAAACAAAATAAATTTAAAAAAGTTATTAATTTTTCAAATCCCTTCGTGACTTTTGCCCCACCCTGTATTTCCTGCAATAATCTTTCCCCTCCCTTTTGTATTAGCTCAGCTACAATGTCATCTGCTCTCAGGGTTTTCCTCTTCTTCATATAATTCACTACCCTCAGATACTCCTCGAATGTCGGTGGTTCATCAATCTCGGTATTTCTTTGGTGTATTACAAACACATGTTCAATTTCGTGTTCTGTACCAGTAAATAAGTTGGTGGAGTGTGCCACCCATTTCCGCTGGTCGATGTTACCATTGAACTTTTGTACTCTAAGATTATTTCTTATGAGTTCGAACAATCTGAGTTGTCTCTATCTCTGGCATCTTTTTACCAATCCACTCATTCTTCTTGATTTTCACAACTTTTCTGCTGCTTTCACTGTTACCCCGTAGACGTCCAGTTCTACTTGTGCTTTTGTGGCTAATCATTTTAGCCAGGCCTCATTTTTCTGTTTAATTTTATCTTCACATTCATCATCAAACCACTCTCTTCTCGCCTTCGTTTCTTTTCGTCGAATCGTTTCTTCAGCCGATGTCAAGATGGTTTCCTTCAGAGTTTCCCAAGTTTTTTTATTTTCATTTGTTTTCCTTTCTTCGAGCTTGTCGTCTATCATTTGAATATATTTTTGGCGAGTGATGTCTGTTTTCAGTTTTTCTAAATCCCTCTTTTTTCTTGGTTTGCTTTCTTTGTTTTTCTTAATTACCTTAATTTTCAACTCTCCAATCGCAGTCTGCGTTAGCTCCTCTATAGGTTCTTTCGTGATATTCAGCCATTTCTTGAATACAAGTATATGATCTTTTCTCGGTATCATCCAAGTTATCTTATGTTCCCTTTTATGCTTGAATGTTGTGCTTACTAAGAACGTGTTTTTTATCGCTGCTAACGTACACAGTTTTTTCTCATTCTCATTTTTTTCTTCATGTAGTGTCTCTTTACCTGCTACTTCTTTGTAATGCTCCTCTCTCCCAATTTTGGCATTAAAATCCCCTAATATCACTAGTAGAATGCATATACGAGTACTTTCCCATATTTCCTCCAGCTTTTCATAGAATTGGGTTTTTTCTTCCTCCAGCGCTCTCTTCGTCGGCGCTTATACGTTTATAAACGATATGTTTGCTTTGTGGTTTTGATTTCGTAGTTCTATACTTGAATTGAAAAGTTGTTTATAATGGAAAGGAAAACAAGGTTGACACCATGGAATTTGACGTTCAACGTGGCAAAAGTCCGTGGATTTATTGTCAATGTAAAATGAGTATCAGGAAGTTCGAATTCTGTTCAATTTGGGCGGAGTTGTGTGAAGGAGATGTGGACTGTTGGAGAAGTATGTTGCAGTGGAAAGTGTGAATTTGGCAGTTTATTTGCGGCGATTCTGTTGTTCGACTTGTTAAGATAAGTATTTTTCTCAGATGTATAAGAGGATGAGAGGACGCTAAAAGTCAGAGAGGCAACAGTGTCGAGGAATTTTGTTCTATACGGGGTATAGAAGGAAAACCTTGATCTATCTGATTGGTATTTTGAAATATTATGTTATGTAGCAAAGATTTAAATTACATTATGATTTAAACAAAGTCTGCCTAAATGTTATCAGGGCCACTAGATAACCGAGCTGGGCGCTATATCCATAATTTGGTCAGGCGGAAATGCCTACTAATTTTACATCGTCATGAGTGTAAAAATCTACATACAAGAAGATAGCTTTTTTTATTTAAAACGATTCCGAAGACAAATATTGCTAGAACCCAGATTAGGATAGCAGCAGTACAAAAATTTCCAGTTTTTCCAGCTTGTCCAACAGTTCTAGGTGTGGTTGACTCACTGTCTTGACTGAGCATCACAAATTTGTCCCCTATTGTGATATTGGCAGATGGATGGGCTCCCACAAGTGTTAGCGCTGCCGTTAGGTCTTCTAGGTCAGCTGTCTTTTTAAACGATCAAAAAAACTTCTTTTACACAAGCCTATCTCCCCCATTTTAATATATTGACTACATTCCGCATGAAAACTACATTTGATGAGGGCTAATATATTCCAGAAACCGAGATGGGCGGTATAACCCTAAATAAGGTACGGAGGAAATGCGTACCTTGCCGTATATCGACTTATTAAATATCATGTCATCACGTACTTATCTGCGTTTTTGAGCTAGTGGATCTCCTTGCGGCACCTCATTCGTTGTTTGCATAGTGGCCTAACAATGGCCACTGGCTTGTTTTCCACTACTCCACGCCACCTCAAGATGGTTTCCTCCATGTTAGTGCACCAATTGTACCATTTTTGCATCTGGCATTTTTAAATGCAGCTCGTATAACCAGTTTCACAGTGAGCAACTTTCTGTATAGGTCGCAAAATTTTTGAACCTTTTTACTCCAAGCTTGCAAGGTTATCCTCGATTCTGCCTCTTATTAAATTAGTGAAGTCAGCTCTTTTATATTTGAAAGGATTCGAAAGACAAATATTGCTAGATCCCAGATTTGGATAGCCGCAGTGGTATAAGATATTCCAGTAGCTTATCCAGCTTGACCAACTGTACTAGGTGTGGTTGATTCACTATGACGACTAAGTTTGACAAAGGTGTCCGGTACTGGTGGTACATTGTGATATTGGCAGATGGACCGGCTAAACAGGTCTTAGTACTGCTGTTAGGTCCTCTAGGTCAGCTGTCTTTTTTTAAACGACCCAAAAAAACATTTCTTCTACACAAGCCTATCTCTTTCATGTCAATATATTGACTACATTTCACAAGAGAATCTACTCGTATATTTGATAAAGGTTAATATGGACCCTTAAAAGTTGTTCCAGAAACCGAGATGGGCGGTTTAACCCTACATAAGGTACGGAGGAAATGCCTACCTTGTTTTATATCAACTTATAAAATATCCTGATATCACGTACTTATCTGCGTTTTTTGAAGTAGTGGATCTCCTTTGCGGCACCTCACTCGTTGTTTGCATAGTGACGTAACAACGGCCACTGACTTGTTTTCCACTGCTCCAGGCTACCTTAAGATTATTTCCTCCACGTTAGTGCACTAATTGTTCCATTGTGCCACCACATACTACAGTTTTTTATGCAAAGAAATACACCGCCGCATATGCTGCGGCATGGGCTCTGAACAGCAAAATGTATTGCTCAGTGCCCAGTGACGCACCATTGGCGGCTGGAAATAAGAAAATCACATTTTGTGATATATGCATTTATTGCACATGCAAAGTAAAACAAGCATTGCATATAATTACCAGTAAATAATAGCATTTTTAACACGTTCACTGCGGCACCAGTCAAAAATAGTTTGTTCCAAACTGCGTTACCAGCCACATATGTCTGGTATATACCTTTCCGTTCCGGCGGTACCAGACACATATGACTGGTACACTTGCCTTATCAAATCTGGCTGTAGTTTGATAATAATAAATTCAAATTTACTTACATAAAATATATAAGGTGTTTTCCAACTGAATGTCAATATTTAAGAGGGCGACTTTTGGTTCTATTTTAAGAAGAAAACTTCATATAATTCAATGTCCTAAACGTCTTGACTTTTGAGAAACGGGGTGGTAAGCTTTTTAAAAATCAATCATTTTTTTGTAATATCACTTTAAATACTTTATTAAAATTCTGCATATGTGTACTATTAAGACGTATTTACGAATTTTCTTTTGATTTCCACCAGCGACGTTCGTACCGACTTCACTTGCTTATTTTGGCAGACAATGATAGTACGCAACTGATTCCTCTTAAAATGAAAACTTTTAATCGAAATCTCGTCATTTCTAGGCAAATTTCTTTGCTTAATTTTTGTTCACTTCGATCCACGGTATTCGCTTACAAAAATAAAATAACATTTCTTTGCATGATCCTAATATCGTTAGTATGACAATGTCACTATGTCGAGAAATAGATTGTATTTTTCAGGTGAAAACCGTGCGTCAGACTAAAAGAATTCAATTTTTCATGTCCGACCCACTATTTCCACCCAAAAAATTCCCTGCATGGTGATATTGTCATAATATTTTTATGATCGTTTTTATAAAAACCGTGCATTAGATTGAAAAAAAAATCATTTCGTGTCGATTTTTGCTTCGAAGTGATAGAAAATTTTAATAAGAGAGAAATAAACAGCATACCATCACTGTCTATCAAAACAGGTAGGTAAAATTAAAAGAATGCCTCTTGACACGTTTATACAGGGTTACAGGAAAAGTCGTGCTAGATCCGTTAAGGGCGTGTAGTACCCATCATTTCTGACTTATTTCATTATGAAACACCCTACCCTAAACTTAACCCTTTTCGAGATATTCAACTTTTAATGTTTTTATTGAAAATTGCCGATTTTTAGGCTACTAAATGTATTTATTTTTATTTTGTGTGTGTTATTATTACTATTATTGCATTTTAACATGTGTAATAAGATGCTTTAGGACGTCAATCATTAAAATAGTCCATAAGTTAATTGAATAGGCTGTAGTAGATAAGTGAATGTTAAGAAATTGAAAAAAATATCAGAAAGTTTATTTTTCTCTAAGGGATATCTAAAAAAAATATTATGGCAATTGTTCGGCAGATGTGTTTTAAAATATCTATGTTTTATCAGCTATCTAACGAGGTATAACAATCTAGGATTTTATTTAAATGCATTGAAAAACTTAGTTTCATAGGCGACAGTGGAGAAGAAAATTGATACTTAGCCCTAAAAAGTAAAATAAAACAATAGGTAAGCATGAAATATCATTTATTAAATCAGGTTTTCACACAACTTTTTCTTACTCTACAGTTCATGTTCAACATGGCTGCCTCTGTTTCTAATACTCGTACATTGTCGCATCCTTCTACGGAGACCAGTCTTTACAACTGCAGTGGTCAACGTTGTCCTTAGTTGATTTGCTGCATCGACAATCCTTTCTCTTAATTCTTCCACAGACGAAACTGGATTTGGCTCGCTGTAGACAAGACTTTTCATGCACCCCCACACATGAAAATCCATGGGGGTTAGGTCCGGACTTCTTGCTGGCCATGGCAACGGCCCACCTCGTCCTATCCATTTGTTTGGATAATTTGTGTCCAGCCAGTCTCTGACACTTCTCCTGAAATGGGCAGGGCAGCCATCATGTTGGAACCACATGTCCCTTCTCAAGTTGAGTGGCAGATCATCCAGCAAATCTCTGAAGTCTCCTCTCAAGAAGTTTTCGTAATTTTCCCCATTTAGATTGTCCGGGAGAAAGTAAGGTCCAATCAAATGGTTGGAGATAATGCCCATCCACACATTCACGCTGAATCTTCGTTGGGACCTCGCCACTCTTTTCTTATTGGGATTCCTTAGTACTTTTGGGGCCCAGTAATGGGCGTTGTGATAGTTAGTTATGCCATCGTTATCAAATTTGGATTCATCTGTCCATAAGATATTTCTTAGAAAATCTGGGTCTTCTACGTCAGCATTTAGCATAAATCTGCTGAAGTCCAACCTTCTCGCGGGGTCTCCTTCTTCAATAGTGTGTACCGGCGTGTAATGGTACGGGTATAGGCCAGCACTATGCACTGTAAACCACACTCTCCATTGCGAAAGTCCCAGATCACGGGCAACACGATTAGTGGAAATGGTCGGATCCGCTCGAAAGCGTTGCACTATCTCATTGTCCTGCAGTTCTTCGTTGTCATAAATTCGTGGTCTTCCCAGGTCTGCATTTCGTCTCAAAACAGAGCCAGTTTCTCGAAGTCTTAGATAAACTCTGTTAAAAACGGCCACATCCGGCACTCGACGACCGGGGAAGCGAGTTCTGTATTCGTTGCGAGCTTGCGCAGATACACAATCGCAGTAT